ATTAATGAAAAAAACTCAGTGGGTCCTCCCATCGCAGCCTTGGTTAAATAAGTCGCTACGAGCATCCCTGTCTGCGAAATGTGCTTCTATGTGGTCCAGAAACCACTATCATCCTGATCTCAATTATTATTCATGCAGCTTCACTCGTTTCATCCGCCATCCTCGGGAACGCGTACGCTGTAGGTGATGTCAACAAGAAACTGAAGAACACCAGCAGAAAGGAAGGCTATCTGATTCATTAATCCTGACTGTTGAGTATCAGGTATTAAACGCTAATCCTTCGCCTTTTTGAGGAGTTGTAGTTCTCCTGACGACCATTAGAGGGAAGTTTGGCCTTCTAAACTATCCTATTCATGCATTTGACAGCGTAATGTGCATTTCTCACATTCGTCTGTTTACTCACATACTTGCTCCAAGTATTTACCTCACTTTCCATCTTGTATGTTTGATATTCTTTTGAACTTGTTTATGGCTCTCGCTTTTGAAAGCATTTGTTAGCTGGCTCACATCCATTTATTTTTATCTGTGAAAGCTATCATTTCAGAGGTGCGCGAATTATGTTGTGGCATATCTATAAAGACAGCACACCAAATGAAAGCCAGATTGATTTATTGTCTTTCATCTCAGCGTTATCATCTTTACGGCTGTGTCTTTATTGTGCTGTCGAGTACTGGGAGGTCTTGGGTGTAATGGTTTAACTCCTTGTAGAGGAGAGAATTAGGTTTCCGAGACTGAGAAAATTCGGGGTCTTGTGTTTTTTGATCATTAATATTGATGGACAGCTTTTGTGAAGTGAGAGCTTCACATGACTAGATCTCACATCCGCTATTCTGTTCTATTAAGTTCCTGTCAGTCTGGCGAAACCGTAACCTTTTCCTCTTTCTCTGTTTACATAGGCAAAGAGACCCAGAATGGGAGAGAAAAAAATGGAGTCTTATATCTTTGTCAGATCAATTTGCTTTATTAATGAAAAAGCTTTATGGAGAGATCACAGTCCCTAGATTCATTCTTAAACAATGACTCACCAAGCAAATGTATTTTTTATTTTTTTTTTCTTCACTCATTTTATTACAAACTTTGCAAGGACTTATTACAAGGGTTTGTTTTCAACATGCGGAAACAGAACAAAACAAAACACATGGGAATCAAACAAACAAGTCGGATCGGACAATCCACTGTTCACAATAAACATAAAATCTGATAAAGCCCTCGGTGACAGGAGCCAGTGAATGACTACGGTGCAGGCATACGACGGCCACATTCACACTGACTCAGCAAAAAAGATCAATCCATCCAAGGCAAGATGTGCACATCTCAATAAACACTTTACTATTTTTATATGCCATCGGCTTTTGTTGTAAGATTTAAAAAGCTTCACTTGCATGTACATAAAACTGTACAAAAACAGATCATCACAAGCATTTTTAGTCCTATATAAATATAACCAACAATTAAGGATAACAAGTTTTGAACTCTCCTGCAAAAGACATACTTTCAAGGCAGCTGTCTTCAGTTTGGGGTGAATGGTGAAGATGAGTTTTGTGCAGTGAACGTCGCTTTTGTTCTCAAAAAAAGGTTTCTGAACCGGCACTAACATTTCAGCAATAACAGTAAACGGTTTCTACCAATTATCTTTGGAATTCATGCTCAACTCGTCGCCTGCTTGACACCACGCACGAGGGATGTGGAGAGCTATGTACAGAACACTTTTTAAGAGATGTTTACCACAAACACCAGTTTTCGTTAATCTATGAAGAAAAGTCGCGCTCTAAGGACGAAGAAAAGACTCCCTCGTTCGTTACGGTCGTCTCATCACATCCAGACATCTAACAGCGAAAGAGCACACATCTAAACACCAGTTTAAAAAACAACCACGAGAAGTGGACATTCCTCCATCTGTCCTCTGGCATTTTGGGCCGAAGGACTCTAGGAGTCTAGCCTTAGAATTACTAGGAATAAAACAGCCGATATAAAGCCAGAGGAGTCGAAACCTGCAATTCAGACTGTCTGACTCAGGCTGGCATCAGAGTAGAGGAAGGTCAAAACCTGCTTCACTCAGAGTTTGAATAGATGAAAGCCTATAAGTGGTGGTAGAGTTTTGTGGTCATCTCTATCTTTTAGCCATGTTAAGTCCAGGTCAGCGATCTCACACGTTTGCCTGGGAAGCCTGCCTGCAGCGCGGAGGAGGAGAAGCGAGCTGGGCTAATTACGCTGGCTCTCGCTGGATTATTTTTTTTCCCTATCAGAGTCACTAAATGGCTTTGAAAACAGCATAATGTGCTTTCTTTCCTTAGGGCGGGATAATCATTCGCCTTATTTAATCATGGCTACGTCCAGTGATTTCCATACGTTTCAGCCTTAATTATTCGGCGAGAGGTGCGATGAGGTAAGTGCGACTCGCTAAACAACTGAAGCGTTTGGACTGGGATTTTTTTCTGTGATCTGTGCTTCCTTTGGGGGCTGGAGTGTTCGCATATGCCAACTGCACCACACTCATTACTCACCCTAATTAAGGAAATGCCCATCGTCAACCCCCCTGCAGATACAAAGCACGCTCGCCCAAGTGCTGGGATCTGGGCAGGTACTGTGCTGCAGCAGGAGTGGAAAAAGTAGAGATATTGAGGCGATGCACCGTGATGCAATGGTAATGATAATGTCCATCAGATATATGGTCCTTGAGCACACTAGATAGTCATTGTCAAAATGGTCCCCCAGAGATTCTCTGAAACTTGGAGGGAGACACAGCTTTAGAGCAGGTTAGATAGTCAGCACAGTGGCTACATTTACATGCACCCAAATTATCCTTTTGGAATCGGATTGACGGCTCAATCGGACTGAAAAACCTTCATGTAAACACCTTAATCGATCTGATTGAGCTCGATCGGAATGAAATTTCGATCGGATTGAAGGGGTGGTTTATTCATTTTCTAATATGGCTGAGAGTGCATGTAAACACTCGATTGGATTGAACCCCGAAACTGAAAGGACTGCGGATGTGCAATGACGCAGAAATAGCATAATGACGTATGACGAGCAGAACGAGCGGTTCTTCCTTTTGACTAAAGTGGGGAGAGGCATTTTTACTGCGTGATAAATATGAGCAGCACGGCACAGTGGTTTATAAGTATATTTATCCATAAATTAATAAATATTAATTCTGCTGTTAAAAACGAATTCCGATTTGAAGCTTGTGACATATAAACGCACATGGTTTATTCATTTTCTAATATGGCTGAGAGTGCATGTAAACACTCGATTGGATTGAACCCCGAAACTGAAAGGACTGCGGATGTGCAATGACGCAGAAATAGCATAATGACGTATGACGAGCAGAACGAGCGGTTCTTCCTTTTGACTAAAGTGGGGAGAGGCATTTTTACTGCGTGATAAATATGAGCAGCACGGCACAGTGGTTTATAAGTATATTTATCCATAAATTAATAAATATTAATTCTGCTGTTAAAAACGAATTCCGATTTGAAGCTTGTGACATATAAACGCACACATCAACCCGATCACTTTATTTAGCATTCATGTAAACACTACATTCAGATTCATCAATCGGAATGAATTCAGTCCATTGAACCAAAATTGTGCATGTAAACGTAACCAGTGTCAAAGAAAAGACTAACCCGAAGAAATTCCCAACTGATGGAGGACAGAACAATTATGGAAAAAAAAGAAAGGTGGCTGAAAAAAGGGAAATGGCGAATGGTGATGTGATCGTAGGTAACATTTGTCATTTTTTGATTGTGGAAAAAAACATGCACAATTGACATGCGAAAGACAAGACAGGATTATCAGTCTAATTTGTCCATTGTGATTGTTATATACAACTGTTTTTAAGGCATTAATACATTTGTTCTTCAAACAAAGTCTAAATAGGACACAAATATTTCATTTAAAACTGTAAAAACTATGTAAACAAAGAAAACAGGACCGTGAATATGAGTGTGGCAAAAAAGGACTCATTTGATGGAGACGAGGTGTGTTTGTGGACTTAACATGCACCGTCAATTTAACAAAACCATACTGATAATTTGAGGGGAGGCAGGTGGTCTCCTCCTCACTGAGGCTGTGCTGTGTGAGCCGTAGGCGTCTTTGCGAGTGCCAGGCAGCATTTGCACTACATCGTGGGAGTTCAGGAGAGATTCATAGTGCCAAAAAACACAAGTTCTGCCACATGACACAAAAGTATGCACGCACATTCTCATCTGTTGAATAGCGTGTTAATGTGCCAAAAGCCACATGTGTTACTTTTCGTGACAGTAGGTCTCCTGACGCACACACCGGCATATGTTAAGGTCTGTCATAGTGAGTTAATCGATGTTAATCCCACTGCCCGCCCTCTGAACGCATACCCACACACAGCTATACACTATGCTGCAGCGTGCATATGGACATACAGCACAACAGCTGAGGAACTGGGCCCTACACGGACACAACGAAGCTCATGGAGCACCATCAGGACGTTTTCCCCTCCACTCCAGCTATTCACGTTTATTCACATTCCTATATGGCCATAACAAATGTTCAGACCCTCAAAAGCAGTGGTACTGACACACTTCAGGTGTTGAGGCTGATTTAGATGTAACTTTTGACCTTTTTTTTTTTTTTTACAATTTTTTCAACTTGAGCCTGATAGTAATATTCATATATTCACCATACAAATGTATTTACAGCGTTTTACATGTATAAAGACTGCTCTCCTCTGAGGACAGGATCAAGTTAAGAGTGTTAGACACTCTGTATGTGGCTCAAGACCCCTTTACAGCAGTATCTCCAGTCAAATACAGCACTTGGTAATCTAGTAGAAGAACCCATGAACATTCTGTAGGCTAGTGAAGCTAAAAGTCGGTTAGTCATGTAAAAGTATGCATCGGTTTTTGTGATGGTATGCAAAAACAGTATAAAAAGTTTAAAGTAACAGTAAAACATGTTGAAAGTGATAATAAATAGATGAATGAATCAATGAATAAATAAATAAATAAAATAAATCTACTCTGACATCATGACAATAGCGTATTTTTCCACTATCCAATTTATATCCTGTCGCAAATTCGATGTTCTCTTTTCGCAACCGTGTCTCTCTAATTTCTGATGTGCATCAATCAAAGATGGTGCGTGTGGTTATCTCACAGGTATATCTCTCTTTTCGAAGTGTGATTGGAAGGGGGGCTGGTAGGCGGGAACTCTGATGTCACTCTCAGAGGAACCTCCTCCAGTGGGGCGTGGTCACTGGGGGTGTGGTCACTACTGGAGTAGGCACTACGGGAAGGTGGGAGGTGTGGCCTGTTCTCCTCTCCTCCCAGCCTCACGCTCCCATTAGCCAGGCGTCCCAGGCTCCCCCTCTCCTGATAAGGCACAAACGTGGACAGTTTAGGGGGATTGCGGGTCTTGCGGACGGGCGAAGGCTGACCGGGCATCCAACAGGCATCTGAGTGACCCAGCTCGCTGCACTCCTGACTGCAGTTTCCCGTCATGGCAACATCAGGTAGTGAGCGAATATCTGTGAGAAGAAGGCACACAAAAAAAGCAGTCTTTAATGATGAGTAAATGATATTAAAGAACAGCAAATCAAAACTTGTTCATTTCTACCGGGTGAGTCACAGAGACACTGCAGTTCACCTAGCGTTAAATGCAAGCAACTAACAGGGAATACACAAAGAGCTGCCAGTGGTTGCTATGCACTGTGGTGTGGTTGCTATGTGAGAGGCAGTTGTTGCTATGCACAGTGCTGTTGTTATGCACTGCATACTGGGATTTCATCAGTGGCTACTGTGGGTCAGATTCTTCTGGTTTGATTCCTTCAAGTCATTTGAACTGAAATGGTTTCTTCATATTGTAGATATCCCGATTGACGGTTGCTAGGTCATTCGAATGTCTGCATGCCCACATATGTATTGGAAGTTTGGTGGCAAAAGTGCAATTCACTTTTTCCTGCATTCATGTCCCTTGGGCTGCAATCCCACGATAAACACGTTTTGAATATTTATACACGTATACACATACAGGCATGCTCGCATTCAGTATCCTACATTCAACATTAAATGAGACCCACCAAGGCCCCTGAAGGAAAATTCAGTGCTAAGGCTTATTGATTGGCAGGTCTGAAATTAGTGAGCCTCTTATTGCTATCCATTTTCCATTCCACTGTTCCCTAATTAATTAAATAGGGCCGAGACCCAGTGACCTCATTCTGACAGAGCCATACAGAGAGCTACATTAACACACACTCCCTGTAATCCACCAACCACATGCATTCTTTCTCAGGAGCCGTTCCACTCTGTGGACCACGTTCCTCACCCTTGTGCATTCACATCAGAGGTTTTCAACCTCTCAGTCATGAACCCACGTGGGGTTGCTGGAAATGAAGATGGGGTCATTGCCTTTTTATTCATCATACATTTTTAGCAGAATTTGTGCAGTTATAGGAAGACAGAGTCTTGGAAAAAAAATCTTTAAAAACAGTAAAATAACAAAGTGACTTATTTGTCTGACATAGATAAGAATTTCAAGTAGCATTGGGAATCTAGGTCCAAGAGGAAGCATTTGTGTTATTTATAATGTAATACGATGCTGTTGCAATCAGTGCGCCAAGAGTGTACACATCAATAATAATGGACTCATGCATGGCTAATGTACGACTCCTGTAAGCGACTGTAATCGTCTTCACCTTGATAACAAATGTCATCCATCAAAACTTTACTAGCATGACACTGGTTTGCTTTATCTAACCGAGAGTTAGTTTACATAGCATATGATCATGCAGCGGTTGGGTGTTTTGAATAAAAAACCGGTCGGGTTTTCACTGCATTAGCGCTGTTTTGAACTGACTGCTTAAATGCATTTGCGTATGCATTTATGGATCCTTGGACGTAAAGTTTTCCAGGAGTTTGCCGGTTTAAAATGATCTGATCGCAAACAGAGATGGTTTTTCTGTGTTCTTTAAGCCATCTTGGGTATTTTATAATAACGGAAATTTATAATCGATTGCTATTTGACATAGCCTTTATTACAGTATAGAATATATTTTCCGCCTCGTTCTGTGATAATAGCCACATCAGATCAGATAATGAAGTTATTTCAAACTCTTGACTGATGTTGTGAAGTAAAATCATGTTATTAAATTTTCTCTTTTGTTGGACAACAGGTTTATAAATGCTTCTCATTAAGGCACGTGTTGCTTTTTCAGATGCACTCAAACTCACAGCACTTACTACTGGCGCTGCGTGATATACAGCACCAATAGATGGCAGTAATGAGTTTTAGTATGCAATCTCGTAAAAAGACACTGCACTGCTTCAGTCTATTGCAGGTTCACAAAATAGAGTGTTGTCGCGCTACACCGCTATTTCCTGGAGAAAGTAGTTAGCTACTGGAAAAGCTACTGAAAAATGTAGTTACGTTAGTAGCGTCGCTACTTGTAGCTAGCTGCTCCCCAACACTGTTAAGAACCTCTGATCTGCACACTCTGCTTGCCATGTTACCTTGCACTTTCGATTCTTACCACAGTTCCAAACTACTTCATCTTCCAGAGACAGAGAAAATGAAGAGAAAAGTAGTGGAGACTCTTAAATGTGCAAGAGATCTACAGATGGCAGCCCTGAGGCGGACGCTGGGGCCCAGGGGATGTACCTCCACTGGCATTGAACATACAGGCAGCTTTAATGCACTCATTAAAAAGAGCTCTGTGAGGCTCCACCGGCACAATATAACTGACAGTTCTCTCCACACGAAAACACCACATTGACCCCACCACCGCACAAATGTACGTATGCTTCAAAAACCTCCCAATAAGCAGGAACTGACATGGTCAATACATCAAAGAGGTCTGGAATAGTGTAAAAGAGGGCGTTTACTGGAGGAGGAAAGAGGCTTTATATCTCACCAAATGGAATAGATCAACTCGCCCCTCTGTGGAACAAACACATTAGAGTTCTACAGTCCTGTTTGTGTGCATGTGTGTGAGAAGGCTAGATTGTGTGGGAGAAAAAAGTGTGTGGTGAACTCAGAATATAATTGAACGTGTGCAACCTGTGTGTGCGTGTGTGAGGGGAAGGATGTGCGTAGGAAAAAGGAGCATGTGTGTTAGATGATGCTACTGTCTATGTGTTTGTGAAGTAGTAGTGTGTGCACATGTCTTTGTGCAAGAAAGATGTGTGCTACAGATTGTGTTTGAAAAGTGAGGTGTTGGGAGTGTAGAAATGTGTGTGTGTGTGTGTGTGTGTGTGATATTCCAGCCTGGTCTCATGTTTATACGTAGGTATAAATACGTAACATTTACAAGCACAAAACGTACACTTTTGTACGTTTTTAGTCATGCTAAAACGTACAATTTAGACGTATTTCAACGTTTAAAACGTACAAATCGCTACGTATTTTTAGCTAAAAAACGTAAAAATATTTACGTATCTTTTATATCATTTAGATATTCATATCAATGCATTTTATCATTTTATTAATAAGCGATTTCGATTTTTAGACCCCTTAACCTGCCCCCAAACCTAAACCTACCCATTTTATAGCGAATATGCATTTTTATCATTTTATAAATACGCAATTTAGATTTTTTAGACCCCTTAACCTGCCCCCAAACCTAAACCTACCCAATTTATAGCGAATATGCATTTTTATCATTTTATTAATACGCAATTTAGATTTTTAGACCCCTTAACCTGCCCCCAAACCTAAACCTACCCATTTTATAGCAAATATGCATTTTTATCATTTTATTTGGATATTCTTGTGGTTCTATGTAGGCAGGTGTGAAAACTGTTTCTTACATCTTTTATCCATTACTGGATCTCATTTCTTCCAGTATATATATATATATATATATATATAGACTAATAGCCAATCAAATGCAGATCTCTTTAAAATGCTTTTGAAGTTGTTTTAGGTGAACAAATGAAAACTGGAAAAGAAAGCACACATTTAGATGCGAGCCCATAAGAGACAAAATGAAATAAAAATGATACTTTCCTTAAAAGGAGGCATATTATGCCACTTTTTACAATATGTAATATACTGTAAGTCTCTGGTGTCCCCAGAATGTGTCTGTGAAGTTTCAGCTCAAAATATTCCACAGATCATTTATTATATCATTTTGAAAATGCCTATTTTGAGTGGAAGCAGAAACACGCCGTTTTTCGGGCCTGCCTCTTTAAATGCAAATGAGCTGCTGCTCCCCGCCCCCTTTTCCAGAATAGTGCTCCACCATTACAGCTCGTAAAAAACATCTGTTTTGGTTCTGATTATCATGTTTATCACGCTGAAATCATGTGTTTTAAACCATATGAGTTTAAACTTCTGATATACGGTTTTCTGAGCGCACACATCCGATGCACACGGACAGAATGTGGCTGTCACAGCATGTGAGTAATAAACTAAGTTCTCATTCACAGACAAGTTTACATTAAAAACACACATGAGTTACAAAAACAGTCGGTTATGTCTGTGAAGGTAAACAGCTGGGAAATAAATTGCATGTTTATTTTAGATCTTTGTGGCAGCAGCAATATACTGAAATGAATCAATAAATTCACTGCTCTCTTGTCTCCTCTGAGGCTGGGACTGTAAATAGTGTTCTGCACTCATCTGTGCAACCAAATACAGAACAGTTAGCATGCTTTGCTCAAACTTTCGCCATGGCATTAGAACTGGTACACCGTTGTCGCTTACAAAAACACAATAAAAGCGCAGTGGGTGTAAATTTACAGATTAAGGGGCGGTAATATTATAATGAGATCCCTTTGCCATGTCACCAAGGGAGCAAAATCAGACACGCTCGTTTTCTCAGATGCTTGCAGAAAAAGGCTTCCCAAAACAAAGTTACTGGGTTAAACTTTTTCACGTTTCCTTGGTTGGTAGATGCACTGGGGACCTGATTATAGCACCTAAAACCTGGAAAAGTCAGATTTTGATGATATGTCACCTTTAATGTATCTAATTATGCATGATTGATAGGTACACAATATTTAAAAAAAAAAAAAGATCATACTATTTCATCAAAACGGCTTAACAGTTTTGTTCAAAATGGCTGATGGAATCAAAGCTATGTAGGCAGGGAAAAATAACCATTAGTATCACACTCTAATATTTCATGATCTAATCAAACTCAAACATATAAAAGTCCTGTCGCTCTTGGTTTCATTTGGAAAACATCGTATTAAAGGGGTCATGAATTGAGAAATCAAATTTTCCTCGATCATTTGACATGTAAGAGGTCATTGTACTATAAAAACATCCTGAAAGTTTCAGAGCTCAAAATGTTCTCGTTAGTCTAAAAACAGATTTTATTGAAACCAAGTGGTTATTTACCAATATAACCAAGTGGTTCTTTATTTTCAACTATGTTGATGTCTCAGTAGAGCATTATTTGTTTGCTCGGTACATTTCACTGTTGATTCTTAGGCAAATTATTTGCAGTTTCAGGTGCAGACTTTGCAAACAGACTTTTACTGTAAGATATGGACCTGACAGTAATACCACAACATGTAAGTAACC